TCCACTGGTCTTTCAATGTAGCTATGCTAAAATTTAAAAATAAATAAATAAATAAATAAGGGCATTGCATAACTCACAGTGAGAAGAGTTACAGCTAGCCAGCCCCAGCACCTCCACCAAGCCCACCCAAGTTGTTTTATGAGCAAACTGACCATCATATCTGGGTCATCAGTGTCTCCATGAGAAACCAGTTGCTCTCACTTCTGATTGGTTAAACAACAGCATCAAATCCTCCTATTATAGCCCCACATTGTGGCACTGGAACAATTCCCCCCATTTCTACATCTTAGAACTGTGGTTCTCTACCTTGGTAAGACACTTGTTAAAAGGCATCTTCCTGATTCTCTTCCCTACAGAGTCAGAGTGAGTCAGCCTAGAATGGAACTCAAATATACATTTCAGTAAATGAGACTTTCCATGTATTTTTGATGCCAATAGTGTGCAACCATTATTAAAACTGAAGATTGCCTTTGAGACAGAAGTCCTTCTGCCCACATTTATACTGTGGCTTCCCTCATGGAGGTAAACAACTGCTCAAGTCAGTGGAAGTTAATAACTTTGTCAACATTTCTTATCTAATATTAAAAGGTAAAAGGTTACAGTGTGCAGTTTAATTTCATAAAAACTGACACAGATTGATTAATGCAACATCGTCGGGTCTGTCTCTTCCTAGAATCTTCAGATACTTGCAATGGAAAACAGCTGTCCTACAAAAACTCCTACAGAAAGAGCACCAAAAGCATATATACAGATTTAATACACTGATGTATTAAATATGTGTATTAAATTGTGGCAGACCCAAACAATAGAGAGAAAGAATTTTCAGGGTCCTCTAAATTCGTTTTTAATGATGAAACTGGAGATGGAAAAAAAAAACTTGCAAAAGAACCTTCAGATAGTTGGAAAGACTGAGGGATCTCCCTGGTGAAGTTTCTCTCACTTTGATACCATGAAACTCTGGACATCTTGGGCTATGTCTTAGATGGTCAGTAATATGTACATTTGAGGAAAAGCAACCATGTCTCCATCACATGGTTGGAGCTCAGAAAAATAGCTCCTCAGCACAAATCACTTCAGAACTGGGCAGTTGTGTTCAAGGCATGCCTAGAATAGAGAGTAAGATGAGCCCGCCGAGGAGAAGCCTTTTGAAGTATAACACAGAGACCTGTGTCTGACCTGTGACACTGTGTCCATCTGTAGGAGAGCTATTTAAATCTCATTCCGTAAGTAGCTATAAAGTTGAAGAAATCCAAGTTATAAAATAATTCCTCTAGAAAAGAAGAAGGTATTATTCTTGTATACTGATCAGATGACTTGCCCAAGATCATATAAAGTAAACTTGAAACAGACCTACAGAGAACAGTTATGGCCTAACTTTGTGATATGTGACTTAATTCCAGTCATGCTGCCTCTAGGTAAAATCTTTCCTCTGACTGATTTACAGTCATACGTACTAAGAAAACAGGACCAAAAGTCTGAGATTTTACAACTAACCTAAAATTGCTTAGAGCTCAAAGTGGGAGTTAAGGCAAGAGTGACCACGAATAGCTGGACTAGAGGGTGCACGAAGGGAATCAGATGCATACAGTTGTCAGTGCATCTGAATTTAGAGATCTGATTCCTCCATCTTCGTATTTGATGAGCCAGCCTCTGAACATGATTACATTCCTTCCTGAGACCAAGGCAGAAGTTGGTTCTTGGATTTTACTTTGGACAGGAGCAGTTATCTTGCTTAAACTCAATCAGGTTGCAGGCTTAACGTTCAGGGTAGGGCTTAGCAATCCCTTACATATGGTGTGGGATGTGTTTCTTGGTGTACAAAGAAGCAAAGTGGCAACAGAAGGTAATCTGGGGAGACCCTATCACACTTCATTTGGATACTAGAATTATCACTATCAGTGTTAAGGTAAATGGGTTGGATTGGCATGTATTCCTACAATTTTACATAGCTTTTGAATTTAAAATGAATATATAATCCATGGAAATAAAATCTACCAGACTCAAAGAGGCCCAGAACATGTTTTATTTATGTGTAACAAGCTAGTTATTTTAGTTTTTAATTGTTAGGGACTCCAGAGAAAGGCATTTGAAAATAGGAACCTGTTGTTACAAATCAAAACATTCATGCAATATTCACATAAACAGGCTATTGAAAAAAAATTACATTGAGTGGAAACTGCCATAGACTTAGTATGAATGTACTGGTAGAGGTTGCCATTCAGAGAATGGCGACAGGGCACCCAGGTAGCAATTTTCTGGGCACCCTGTATCAGAGGAGGGGAACTGGCCTATCACCTGTTCCTGCATTATAGAGAAAAGTCTCCCACCAACTCTGCCGTCCTACCTCATGTGACCAGCCATCTGTCACCATCAGACAGTGCTAGCAGCCACTTCAGATCAGAACAACAGCTCAAGGCATCCTGGGCAGCAGCTCCTCCACTCTAAGCTGCTTTATCTCTCTCTGGACTCTCATTTCTTAACTTCTTTGTTCCCCTGCACTGTCTGCCCTTGAAGAAAAAAAACACAAAAACTTCTTTGAGACTGTAGCAGCAGCTCCTAATAACTCTTAATAATGAAATACCAAGAACATTAAGATTTGTCTGGCTTTGCTTTGGCTCACCAGTTTCTGAGGATCTTGATCAGGCTGCAATGAGTGATGAAGAAAGCAGAAGGCAGCTCAAATCCAGGAGGTGGATTATCAAACTGCTTGTGCCTTCTCAGTCCTGCCCCCCTTGATACAGAGAAGGCCATTTAATGATAACCTGCTTCAAAGTTTCTGAGTAGAAGGATTAGAAAACCATTAAATGAACTAAGAGGAATGCAACCTTTACCCTTCCTGGGAAGGGTAATGTGGTGTGGACTAGGAATGGACTCTGAAATCAGGCTTGGCATGAAAATTCCTTTCTGCTGTTCAAGACCCTATCTAAGAGGCATAAAATAAGGAGGTCACAGATTCTAAAACTGCAAAAAGGAATAATGACATCTGGTCCATAAGCTTGTGAAATAGTTAATGAGAATATGCATCCAGCCTTCTTAGCACCCTGGCATGGAACAACCAGGGTTTGTCTTCATTTCTTGTTACAGAACAGGCATAAAATCTGCATCTATCACAGACAATGATCAAAATCAATGAGATGAGCCCTCAGGAATGACCAGCTCCTCTTTAGAAAGCAGATGATATAGCAAGTGCAGTAGGCTCTGGTTAGCCTCCATAGCCTTCTCCTCTATCATAAAGCAGTGAATATACAGGATGATATAAACATGAAGGCTTTACCATTCCCATGGAAGTTTATTCAGTGAGGACATTGATAATAGAATAGAGCCGAGAGAAGAAACTGATTCAAATATCCCATGTCTCTCTGCTGTTCAGAGCAGGTAAGATCGAAGCTGATAGGCCGATAACACTCACCATTGCTCACTTTGCAAATATGAATTCAATATAACTGTTATCAACCTCTCGCGTAAACATACTGTTCATGGTACTCTATAAAGATAAATGAAGCAACTTTATTTTTATGTTTCAGTGTGTGTGGTGTGTGTGTTGGGGTGCATGTATATCATGGCATGGGTGTAGACGTTGAAGAGAACTTTCTAGAGTTAGTGCTTTCCTTCAATTTTTATATAAGTTTCAAGGATGGAACTCAGGTTGACAGGCTTGTGCAGCAATCACCTTTATCCAGAAGCCATCTTACCAGCCTGGAAAGAACTTTGATGTCAGAAACTAAGAATCACATAAAAAAGAAACTGAATACATTAATGATTAATAAGTATGCCTATGTCACATTCTGCCCCAACTTTTAAAATAATCTAGATTGCTCTGTTTGTATTGTCTTTGAAAAACAATGCAGAGCTAGCCTTGCCAAGAAACATAAACAGCATTTTGCATATTATAGTCCAGCTGAAAAACAGCAGTGAAAATGGGTATCAGGAGCCCCACTTCACAGATGTGGAATTGAGACCCACCCAGGTTCATAGAGTTCATTGTAAAGAGATGATTTGAAATCTCTGTATTCCACCCATCAGTAAGTATAAGTTATTTTTTTTCAAAGCCCTTTCCCTTTAATGAGTCATGATTTTCCTTGTCACAAAAAGACATAGTCAGGATTATTGGTTAACAAGAGCTTTGAGGATGCTCATTGGTATCTATGGCACAGTGACAGGTAAGGTGGCACATTGAACAACCATGCATCTTAAAGACAGAAGGCAGGAGCTCACACCTCACCATGGTTTCCTTAGCTGTGTGACGTGGCACTCATTACTTAGCATTTTTCAGCCTAATTTCCTGGCCTTATAGAATTGTTATCACAATCAATACCATCATATAGTTGAACCTACTTTCCTATTCATGAGACTCTAGGCAAATGTCAGCTACTATTATAGTCTATTTCTTTTGAGTCCTGGTATTGACTTGTTCCTGATTCTTTGGAAATCCCTCCCAACACCTTAACTTTCTCATTTGTAAGCAATAGTTGCTAATACAGCATTTTTTTTTGTACTACCCTCCAGTAGCCTTTTCAACCTGTAGTGACCTAGAAATCTTTTGGGATGCAGTTAAAATAAATTCCCGGACTCCAGGATTACGACTAAGAACAGCTGAATGGAGCCTTGTAATCTTCTGTGTTTTGAAGGACCCCATTGGATTCTGATATAGCTGGGCTGTGAAACTTCTAAAAAAATAAAAAATTAAAAATTAAAAAATTAAAAAATACTCTGCCATGCAAGCTCAGCACACAAAGAACTATGGTGTCTGTGGATAAAGAACTTGGCTAACATCACTTCCTCTACCACTAATACAGCCAGCACCAAACCCTTGACTCCTGATATCTGTGTCTTGTTCTTTTGACCTTAAAACTGATTCAAAGAAATACAGAAGTCTGCTGTGGGTCACTGGGAGTACACTCGGGGTTTGATTCTAGACTGCACAGGGAAACTCCCAGCAGTCCATGGGTATCTGTAAAAGGTTAATTGAGTGTCATGGCTTTTCTCTTCTTTCTCTGCAGACACTTTTGCCAGTAAAGTGGCAGCCACCCAGGACCAGTATGCAGATGCATCCATAGGCAACGTCACTGGAAGCAACGCGGTGAATGTCTTTCTGGGAATTGGTGTGGCCTGGTCCATCGCTGCCATCTACCACGCAGCCAATGGGGAACAGTTCAAGGTGTCTCCTGGCACACTAGCTTTCTCTGTCACTCTCTTCACCATTTTTGCTTTCATCAATGTGGGGGTGCTGCTGTATCGGCGGAGGCCAGAAATCGGAGGTGAGCTGGGTGGGCCCCGGACTGCCAAGCTCCTCACGTCCTGCCTCTTTGTGCTCCTGTGGCTCTTGTACATTTTCTTCTCCTCCCTAGAGGCCTACTGCCACATAAAAGGCTTCTAAATGAACAAGCAGATATAGTAAATTTATATATACATATATAAAACAGAAAATTATGTATAATGAACAGAGGAAACTGACATTTGTCATTGTTCACTTTCGCGCTGATGGAATCCAGCTGCAAGAGCATACTCTGTACCAGGGCGGAAGTCAGAAACCATCACCTCTTTTTCCCCAGGCATCATCGTGTTGAACAAGGCATGGAGGCAGGGCCATCTTGTAGCTCAGCCTAGAAAGACTGTGCTCTCTCCAAGTTCATAAATGGGTCATGCTTTGATTTGCTTTCTTGATTTAATTTTTTATTTTGTTTTGTTTTTAATAGGGTTGGGGAGGTGGCTGATGGTTAGCTTTTGCTTTTATTTTTGTTTTGTTTTGTTCAGAGCATCGGGATCTTACTTCTTATGAGAGGTGGTGATCCAGCCAAAGTAGATAGGCTTGGGATAAATATTGAAATCATTAAGATTCTTTCCTCGCCTCCTCCAAATGCTTTAAACATTACTTTGGATTAAGAACAATCTGGGCGTGGAAGAAGAAAGATGCACATCTTCACTCTGTAACCACATTGTATGCTAACCTCGGTAATGTGAGCAAGCAGAGGTGGAGCTGCCTCCAGGAAGACGCGTGGAAAAAGTGATGGCTCTAGATGTAGGCTGATGCCTAAGGATATGCTGCCTGGCACTCTTGTTCAACAGGTACAGGGATAATGTGCCTAGATTCCCGGGAACATGCAGAACCCTTTAGTCCTTATCTCTTCAGCTCTAGACTGTGATTAGCAAGGCCCTTATTCCTTCCAGCCCAGCTAACTCCCCTGATAGCCCATCCCCAACCTTCTCCTCCTGCCTACCCATCCTTCTCCAGGCAAACAGGAAGACTAATCCCACTCAAATAGTCCATCATCCTTTCCATCTGCATCAACATGTGTCCAGGTCCCATGTTGCTGTTGCCTGGGATGGGCCATCAGTTTTTATTTCAGAGGCATCCACAGCTTGCACAGTCCTGTTCCTGTCATGACTGAACATTTGCTCCTCCTTCATGTGCCTGTTTGGGAATGTTGTTGTGATACCCGTTACACAGTGCATGGATGAAAACAAATAAAACAAAGCAAAGCGTATATCTGTATATAGTAGAGTATAGCAAATACTGTTCTCCCATCAGCAATGTTGATTGGACATTGAAGACACAAGTGAGTTTTCTTTTCACCTGAGTTGTTACTTTTGTGTTGTTACTGACTTGATTATTAATAGGGATAAAAGAAGACAATGGCTTATCATTCATGAATCTGCATGCTGATTTCTAAGAAGCAATAACTGTCATGTGGAGGATAAATTAAAGTTATGGAGAGGATAGCAGGCAAACTACAAAGATGTTCACGGAATAGTAGCCATGTAGAATGCATCATAAGCCTCTAAGAATCACCCATTAGTTCAGGAAGGCTGAAGAGAAAGGCACTGGAGAGATGTGGGTGCTTTCAATGTGCCTGGATTTTTAAAGCCACCATTTCCATGCTACCCCTTCCCCCAAAGTATTTATTGCACATCTGCTCTGTCTGGCACAGGCGCTAGATCGTGCTAGTTCATTTTATTTTTTTACGTAGAAGGCTGTTTTGAGCCCTATGTCATTCACTTTCCAGTCTAGAACCCCTGAATTCATCAGCAACAACTGAGTGGACAAGAAACCAGTGTGATCAATGGGCCTTTAGAAGTTGGTCTTCTTTATGTATTACTGAAAGGAAAGGATTCAGTAGGACTGCAAGATCACACTGGGGAGTTTTTAACACTTTGAAAAGAACAGCTCTTTCTATTTAAAAATACCAAAGAGAAAGGATAACCCAACGTTCCAAAATAGTGATTCCATTAATGAGGGAAAATGCAATGGTTTTGCCCACCCCACAGAGACTTCTCTTGAGGTATCTCTGGCCCTCTGAATTGATTTTAAGATGCTTAAGAAATAAATGTTGCTGAAACTTATTTTCTTCTTCCACTCGGTGATCATAACCATTTTTTATTTGATAAACATTTAGTGACTGAGTGAATAATTAAATGTTGGTTGCCCATTTAAAAGTTCAGGTAAGTGCTGCCCCCTGGGAGTTGTACAGTGACCAAGACAGCCTAGACATCTGCCCGCAGGGGAGTAAGACAATGAATATAATTACTGTTCCAGGAGTAAGAGTTAATACAACCATGGTGAAGCAGTTTTATCTTGCAAGCAAAAAATAATTCTGATCTCTTTTTAACATAATCACATTAAAATTGTACAGCAAAAACAGTTGTCCAAATATCCAAGGTTTTCCTTAAGAGAATGTAAAACAGCTTTGGCCAACTTGCAGATATACTCATCATCCTACTTTAGACCAAGAAAGGCAACCATGGTGTTGAACCAAGTCGCTGAGAGGTTCCGTTAACCTGTGTTTATCTATGTGGCAATGGCACTTGCTGGTAACTGCCCCTGATCTCACATGGTCCACCAACGTTAGTAACTCCTTAGGGGCACATTCTAATCCATTCTTTTTGGGGTTTTTTGTTTTTAGAGTTAAAAAAAATGGAAAGGTAGCATAGATATACCAAGTAAATATAGTCAAGGGATATAAGTTGTTTAAAAATTAGAAAGATTTGCACTCATTTTTAGCCATATTTTAAATGTTAATAATCCCGTAGTGAATTTTCGCAGAGAACTTCAAGAAAGCCTTGCTGTTGGTCAATTTCAATTTCAAAGCTTTTCGGTTCGTTCACCTTTTCAATTTTCATGCTTAGGGAAAATATGATTCTGGTTGTTCAGGGTTGTTATTAATTATTATGTGTAAAACTGTTTCATTTTTTGTTTGATTGTTTTATTTTGTGTGTATTGTGCACGGCTTTAGGGGGAGGGCACTAGCAGTGGTGTTCCTTATAAATGGTACACATTATTGACACAGAAAAATAAAGTTTCTAATTGTTTCTGATTTAATCACCATGACACAGCATATTCTGTCCTGTATAATGTTTCCTTTCCTCATTGTCATCTAGTTCATTCTTGGTTGTTTGTTTTCACGTTTTGAAGAAATAAAGACCAAAAAGGTTTTATTGTGCAACTGGTAACCTCATCTGAAAGAAAGTAGCCACCAAGGATTCAAGCTCTTGCAAATGACCCCCTTTGGTCATGGAATGTTCTCTTTTAAATTTCCCAAGAGCAGCACAGAGAGCCAGGATGTTTGTCTGTCTGTGATGCTGTGAGAAACATGGGGGTACACCTCCCCTTCACCTTTCCTTATAACTCTATCTTCTACCTTTCTGCACCCACGAACATGAATTGAGAAACTGCTACAGGTCAGGCAACTTTTAGTGTGCACTGTTTTATATCAAATTATGCAGTCCCAATAAAACTGATTACCAGAAACATAGTTACCTCTAAAGAGACACAGGTAAATTGCTCACTTAGCATCACATGTTGTAATTCTTTTTTACTCCTCTTAGAACTTTTGCTTTATGTTAATAATTTCTGACCCTCTGTCTTATATAATTTATTGACTTGATATTGCACAAAATCAAAAGCACATAAGAAGAGTTGATGCCAGAAATGGAATAAGAATTTGTAGGGGAGATAAAAAGAAACCTCTTAATATACTAGAATCTATGTACTCGCTACATGTAAATGATACTTTATTCATCTGATTATTAAAATTTTCCATAGAACTCTTCATCATATTATGTGGTCATGTGTGACACACTTTCAAATGTCAAGGAAATAAGGCACAATTTAAATGTTCTCCCTAAATAAAACAATTGATATGTCTCCTGGATATCAATCCTCAGGTTTATATAAAATTAATAGCTAGTATTTAAGTGATCCAGTGGTACCTTTGACTATTTAATAGGCATTAACCAAATTTTCTGAGTGACTCTCAAGTTCTTATGAGAAAATGTTAATTTGTTTGATGATCCTTATACAATTCCTCCACCAGTGAAGATTTTATAGAACCTTGTTTTCTGTGGTTTGTATTATCAATGCACTAAATTTTTGTTGTTGTTGCTTTTCAAATATAAAATTAAACTTCCACTTTGCTGTTAGAAACAAGCCTAGAGAGATTGACAAATGTCCCTTACCTGATGTCATACCATCTAGGACGTGACCTCACCAGTAATGAAAGCTCACCATCCCCTCTGCTTTTTTCCACACTAGGCTCGTTCCATTAGAGACTCTACAGCTCTCACATTTCTGATCTAAATCTATCAAAACGAAGCTAGAATGAATGGTTTGCTCTGCATTCATCCGAGAGCTTTATGGAAGAACTTGGATTTGTTTTTCTAGGAGATGATGTAACCCTGTTTTCTAGGGCAAATCAGCTCCATTAAGACTTTTCTCAGTTTCTTAGCTGGAAATGTGGAGTCTCTTTTGATTTTGATTTCCGTTTTCTGACCTCGGACAGCTACATCCAGAGTAAGTCCTGGGTACACTTTCATGACCGCAGAAGCATTTGGTCATTTCATGATTGACAATGTACAATTCATAGTAACTTACCACCAGCATCCATCTTTTGTAACAACGATCAGTTCTTTGGCTAAGACATTCTAGCTATTGGTGAAACTGGCAGAAATAAGTGTGAATATCAACTGATAAATAAGTGGGTGGGTCATATAGAAAAGACATGCAAAAATCCCATTTATCTTTCTGAGGATGTATGTTATTATGAATGTATTCACTAGCTTGTGCTCATATCTCCCTAGAGATTTCTTATGATGGGTTGTGGGTTTTTACCATTCTTTTCAAACATTATGTTTTGCCATATTCATTGTTCCCACATCTTCCAGCACACTACAAAGGTTGTGTAGTCCTGATGGCATTCTGCTGCCTCCAAAGACAGCCTGAGGAAGACAGAAAACTGAAATAGTTAAGTATTTCATTCTTTAAAAAAAAAAAAAAATTATACAGCCAGGCGTGGTGACGCACGTCTTTAAACCTGGGTGGCAGAGGGAGGCAGAGGCAGGTGGATCTCTGTGAGTTCAAGGCCAGCCTGGTCTACATAGTGAGTTCCAGGACAGCCGGGACTACAGAGAGACCCTGTCTCAAAAAGATCAAAAAAAAATTATACAATGCTTTTAGTGCATTTACATTGTGACTGTTACAAGATATCATGGTAAAGGGGATCACCATCTCCCAAAGCAAAGAATGTCCTTCCTATAGAAGGAACAGCCACAAAGGTGGAATTCCCAAAAGAGAGAGTGCTTCCATTTTCCAGTTCACAGGAAATGGTAAGTATCCAGCTTACTGTGACTTTTCTTCAGTCTGCCAAGATGTCCTAAAAGATGCACTCAGGATCTCCACATTTTCAGTTTTGTCAAAAGTTTTCTGATTTAATCCCCCAAGGGACATTTAAATATATGACTTTATAAATCATAGTTTATTTACTTTTAGGAAAAAACATCACTTCAGAATTTTTCCTTTACCTATTGTCAGACTTTGTATTTCTTTAGCTGGCTGCTCCTATTGCATGCAGTAGATTTACTGATGCCTGCTGCTACCTCTCAACAATCGGGGAAAACTCATACTATAAGTGACACATGTTGTTTTTTTCTGAGAACAAACTTGTCATAGGAAAAAAAAATCAAACAACATTCCACCTGGACAGCAGGTATTAGAACACAGTATTGTGTCTCTATAGATGTTTAGGATAGGTGGCATCCTAGAATTGCATGCGACAACCTTACTGATTTTATAGCTCTTTGAATTACATTCATAATGCCCTAGTGTCCATCCCCCTAGCCTCCTATTCATCCAATATATGAATGTATAGAGTGGGAAAAATCAGCAGCACATACATCTTCAACCCCTATGGGAGTCTCTACGAGGATGAAGTATATAAATATAGAAACCATATAGCCTTCATGTTTCTAAGACGTATGAGTGAGTCAAATGTTTCTCTGATTATTGCAGCTCAAGTATGCAAAGGGTAGGAAAATTCACATCGATGACCAAATATTCCAAGTGGGAATACTTGAAGTAGCTAGCTTCAGTGGAACTGGGTCTGTTTTGATAGTTAACACACCAAGCCCAACCCTCCTAACTTGTTGGCTACAAAGACAAGCATATTTAGCCAAATCCAAGAATGTACTGGAGGAAAGGAAAGCTGATTTATTAACATGGTTAACAGCCCCCTCTACTGAAAATTGCCTATTCAGCTTGAAGAACTGGGCCCAAAAGCTTTTCAACTCATTCTCAGTGAGTTTTTAATTTATAGAAAATTTTATTAGATTCATTTGAAGCCATATAATAGAGATCAATTCTGTAAGATCTTTCCTAAAATTATGATTATTGACTTAGACAATGATCCACCCTCTGATGTGGAGGCCAGATTTTTCACTTTACATTCCATTCTTCCTAAAAATAAAGAACAACTGTATTAAATGACCAAACTGGTAACCACTTTCCAAAATGTTTCATGTAAAAAGTAATGCACTAAATTGCATTAATATCATTGTTAAAAGTGATACATTCCAAATGGCTAGTTTTGTGGAAAATGACATTTTTTTTCTGAAACTTTACAGTGCTAAAATCATTTTAGTGTAAGACTTTGAAAAATATTCTAAAAGAAAAAACTCTTAAAAGATTTTGCACTGAATTATAATAATAATGTTCATATAATCAAATCGTATGATTAAAATAGTGATATGGGTGAGAATTATCTACACTGTTGACAGGATTATATTTTTTAAAGGAAATAATTTGGCACAAAGAAAATGTGTTAAGTAGGATTTCATCACATAGTACCCTTGTATAAGATATTTGAAAGTCATTACCTTTAAGTAAAATAAATTTGCATTATAATTTAAATTCATTCTTGTGTTTTATTTGAAAATCAAAACTGGGAATATATAGATTTTGGCTTTCACAGCCAAAGAAAAGTATGTTTTTGGCACATTTTCCATATCTTTGAATTATTTTGTGGAATATATTGGACGTGTGCAGATGTCTCATAAAAATATTTTCAGTAATTTCCTTCCTTCCGTTTTTTACTGTATAATGCTCCTAAATTACCCAACTTGGTAACTTAATACTTGCACCTAGATGACTCCATTTTGATAACATTACTTGCATTTCAGAATTAGTTATAATATTTAATCAATACAGCAAATGCTATATTGAGCTTGGGCCTAGCCAAAAAAAACCCCACAAGGCCCAGATAGATCTAACAGTGATTAAAGTTATCAGGCACAGCCGATACAAATGCTATTTTCATTCTTTTTTCTACCAAAGTTTCCATTTCAACCAGTGCAATAATAAATTCAAGAAAATTTGAATGCTAGTTGCAAGATTATTGCTCTGAGAATCAGACATTGGTCAGCATTGGGTCTTCTCTCTCCCATCTTTCCTACACTCTAGGGAAATGTACATTAAAAAAAATTATGTGTGCTGAATAACATGAACTTCATTTTACGTGTCTAGGGTTCCTCAGAAGTTCATGTCAGGTTCGTTTCTTTCATATCACATTTCTTTTATAAAAATAAAGTGAAAAAGTACAGAAAGAAGCACATTCTTATTCTTTAGCTAAAGACATAAATTCAAAGTTGTTTGAAAATTCCTTAGAATGACGTTAGCTGCATGTATCTTTCCAAAAACCAATGTAAAAATCTTAAAGAAAGAAATACATTTTTATCTCTTTCATTTAGCAAGTATTTGGGGTAGGGAATCTTTAGATTGATTGGGTTTTCTTCTGCCATTGGGTTAAATATTGAAAACAGGCTCTTAAATAAATAATTCTGAGCAGGGCATGGTCATGCACATCTTTAATCCCAGGAAGGAGAGGCAGGTGGATCTCTGTGAGTTAAAGGCCAGCCTCGTCTATATAGTGAGTTCCAGGCTAGCTGGGGCTACAGGGAAACTTATCTCAAAATGACCAAAAAGAAAGAAAGAAAGGAGAGAGAGAGAGAGAGAGAGAGAGAGAGAAAGAAAGAAAGAAAGAAAGAAAGAAAGAAAGAAAGAAAGAAAGGGAGAGAGTGAGAGAAGGAAGGAAGGAAGGGAGAAAGAAAGAAGGAAAGAGAAAGAAAGAAAGAGAAAGAATGAATCTGGACAAAGTTAAATTCTGTAG